TTGCTTCATGTCTTGTTACTTCAGAAGTATTTGGAGCAAGACAATTAAGAAAATATCTAGAGAAAAAAGGTGTGCGGGTAAACAGCTATTGGTATGAAAGTGCTAATTTAGACATTTCTCCGCTTCATAGAAAAAACTACAGTATATACATTTAGGAGCACACCTAGAATAGCAATTTAGCTGCTTTTAGCAACATACCCAAGTGCCGTTTTGTACCTTTTCATCCGTACAACACAGGTAATTAAGTTGATATTCCAACACAGCTTCCCCTACTGACCTTTTGGAAACAATGTGTTTTGCTGCATTAACAAATTAACTTCAAATCAGAGACTGTTCCAGTAAATACGATCTTATATGATCTTCACATAATTCAGATATACTTTGCTTATCCTACTCTGGTGACAGATATTAACATCGACATTAAAAATGAAGCTCTGGCAAAGGGCAAATAGTTGTTGTCTTCTGGTGGACCTCCCCGTCAGTTATTCCTCACTGCCCTTTGCCTGGTCTTTTCTGCGCTTCACAACGCTGATTGCAGCCATACCCCATGTTTAATGGAGAGAAAAACATGCTGTTTTGAATACGTAGTTTTGCCTTACCATTCTGTTCAGATCTTTGGGGTTCTGAGATATGGTACATGGTGGAATGCATGCAAGACCTAACATCCCAAAATGAACTTTATTTCTGTATCACTTCAGACAGTTTTCACACTATAGTTTGTTCTTTTGCCTGCAAGTCCTGCTGTCTTCACCTACCTGAGTCTGAATTGCAGCTTGAAACTCTTAGCTTACACATAAACATATAAGGTAATTTTTATTTTCACTTACACAAATTTCATGCTCATCTAATGGAACTAAAATGATACTTACACAAGATGTGCACTAGCATGTCTCAACTTAAGGCTTGGTCTAGCTTTAGGCAAGCTGGAGCATTCTGTCACAAACCTTCCTGTGATCTAGAGACAGAGCAAAGCTTCTTCCCTGTCCTTCCCTCCTTCCTTTTTTCTCCATCTAACTGGGTCCCTACAGTGAAGAGCCCAGCCTGGGCCAGCCGAAACCTCTGCTGGAGTGTGTCAGTGCTGCTGCTCCTGCAGAGTCCCCGTGGTGTCAGTCGCCCGTTCCAGTCTCTTGCCACTTGCAGAGGGACCTGCCAGCTGTTCTGGAGGGGAAACAAGAAACTTTGCAGTAGATACAGAATAGTAACCTGCTGCCTAAGGAAAGCTTCCTTCTAACCCGCGCAGTAATTAAAGGTCAGTTCAGCCACGTCCAGCTGTAAAATTGAATGCCTTTTTGCCCTGTTCATCATCGTTAAATATTATGCTGTCTTTAGTCAGCTTGATTTGCCCTGTCAGTGTGCCTCAACCGTGGCTTCAAGATGCCGATTCCCGAGATGATAGTTAAAAAGCAGCTATCCGACGTTCTTTTCACTGGCAAATCACGTAGCAGGGACGTTTCTTTGAATTATGATTTTTTGGAGGGTATATCCATAAGGAGTCTGGGCTGTGATTCTTCAGGAGCTACGACTTCATCATTGAATTGTGGGTGGACTGACCTTAGCCTGTGTGGCATTGATTTGGCATGTGATAATTTCAGTTTAGTAAGAGAAGAGTTGAGTTCAGTGAATGAAGGGACAAGTGTGGAAGAGCAGCAGGATGAATTAGTACCAATATCAACAGAAAGCTTAGTAAAGAGGAAAAGAATGCTGGGAAGAGATGACTGCAGCTATGATATTGCACTTGAGCTTCTTATATTATATGGTGTTTAAAAAAAAGAAAAGACTTATCTGAATTGCCAGGGAAAAAAAAAAATCTCGCAGTCCCCAAATAGAATGGAAGCTGAGGTAACCTCAGTAGGTGTTGATAACTCATGCGTATATCATAAACCTTGAGAAATTCTGTTTTCATTAGTTCTTTGGTCCTGGAGTCAAGTAATTAAGTGAGACTCTCTGCTTATATTAAAGAAGAGAAATTGTGACCCTCTTGAAACCAGAAAAAAATTAAAAGCAGCATGGGCTTGCCCTAATCACTCCGGAACAGAAGAAAAAAAAAGATGTATATATAGTTATGATTTCTAGGCCAACATATGATGTTTTAAGGTCTGACTTGTAATTGTTGGTCAATTAGGACTAATAGGAGTAAAATATTAGCGCTACACCGCACGAGGGCTGCATGTTGGTTTGAGTACAGGCAAGGAGAATACATGACATGAGATGGTATTCCTATTAAACTCCTCCAGATTGTACTGGAATTACTAATCTTCTGTGGAGGAATTACTGTCTTCTAATCTTAATCTTCTGTGTGCTCGCTGACATGCGTAGGAATATTCTGCAGTTCATGTTAACAGTTCAGCCAGAAAAGGTACAATATGGGTGACAAAAAAGTTTTCAGATCCTCAAAAAGCATTTAAAACTTGATGTTATTGCCATTGCCTTAGCAAACAGTGATGTAGCAGATAATTAACAAATCCTCTTACACACTTTCTCAGACAAATATTTCTCCTCAAGTGAGTAGGTGGGTGGGTAAGCAAAGTTCAAGTGTCCGTGTCTTTGCAGCGACTATAATCAATGTATCGATCATCTCGCTAGGAGGTAATCTTCACATATTGTGTGGTCTTTCTGTCTTGCTCGCTAAAGGGCCTGCCTTTATCACGGTTTTTTTCAGAGGCCTAAAATAATATTACCGTTGTTTCCTCGACTGATACTATTGATGCCATAGTCTTGTAGTGTTTCTCAAAAATTTGCCTGATTTTTGCTAAGGAAAGGAACAGCAGATTCCCAGACCAAAGAGGCTTTCAGTGCTGTGGTATTGTGTTTGAAGCAGTCAAACACACACATCCAGTGATGCAAACTAATACTGAAGAAATAAGAACATCAACATCTTTGTAATATCTTGCAATTCTTATATCAATAATGGAAAATAAGTTGGTGCTCAAGACATTGTTAACCATGGCTTTAGGAAAACACTTAAATTTCTTACATGAATAACCTACTCGAGAATTCTCTAGTGTAGAAATGTTCACAATTTCTAGGTAAACAAAAGTGAAATAAAGCAAAGTGTATATTCAGGAGGCATGAGGAAAAACAATAACTTGAAAAATAAAAGAATTATATATTGTTTTCCTGCTTCATCAAAGAGAGTTTGTCTAAGTAGCTAGGTAGTAAGTGAATGTCTTACCAATAACTAGAAAAGTGCAAATTTCAGTTTTTTCTTCTCTTCCACTACATTTCTGGAACATAATGGAAAATAAGTATGCTATGTCACATAACAGAGTTTTTATATATATGCACATACACACACATACCTATCTATGTGTCTTTCTAAAGTTTGTGCTTTCAGCCTGAGCAGATAGGAAGGGATGATCCACGGCAGCACCAGTGCAGTCCTGTGACTGAACTGAGTAATAGGAGGCACAGACGAGCAATAGTGTAGTAGGGCTATTGGAAGCCACGTCGACCTGCAGCCATGTCATGTCTCTCTCTGTTCTCTTTGTTTTCATGTTTGCCTAATTGGAAAACCTGGTGAGAAACTATCATGTAGAATAGTTCTGGCCTCAGCTCCCCATCCTGAATGCCTGTCTTTCTCACCCACTCCAAAAAGCTGAACCAAATCCATGCGTGCAGGCTGGCACCACGTGTCAGCCCTGGAGTCTCCTTCTCTGACAACACAAGTAGGAAACACCAAAGTATAATTTAATGGGAAATCTGAAAGAAAAATCTGGAGAGATGCAAAAAGAACATGAAAACAGGTAGGCTAGAGTTGTACCGTTACATAGCGTGAGGGCAGTTGAGAGAAAATGTCTGTCAATCTAGAACAAAGACTCGGCTAGTAAAAAGCTAAGAACTGCTGAGATGTCAATCTGGAATCTTATTTTGAGAGAAATACAGTAATCTGGGTAGGCTTTCTTCTTCTGTCTGAGGAACCTGTTTCTCACTGCCAGTTCGTCTTCTTTCCCTGTACAGCTGCAAGCCTTCGTCTGCGAACGCGCAGCGCGCATGGAGCAGGGACGCAATCTCCGTCTGGCCTAGCAGGCGTTCAGAAAAATTCCTGTTTCTCCTCTTGGAGGGCTCTGCTTCTCTGCTTTAGGTTCTAATATGTGCATGTAAGCTGCCACAGAAAGGACATTAACTTTTATCTTGTGCTTGATATCAATATTTTACTTTAGGATTTGGAGTCCCATAGTTGTTAGTATATTCCTAGTCCAACAGAGTTTACCCTAAGATACCGCCTGTGTGAAGAGTCATGCTGCTGGCTCAGGCAAAAGCAGCTGGATTGGAGCAGTGCCAGCGCTGTTACAAAGTTGCAAGTTGGCCAGCAGCTAATTTTAAAAGTAGGAGATCAAAATGATCACCTTAATGTACTGATCTGTTTTCATTCAGACCTGTCGGTGACTTTGTCACCTAGTCTTCTTTCCTATGTCCATACACACTTTGCTCTAGGCAAGGCATCTAAACCTGGGTCCAGTAGAGTATATGAGCATGCGTTCATCTTTAAGCATATGAAAAGATTAATTGACTTTGGCCCTCATGTTCTTAAATGTTTTTGCTGGTTTGAGGCCTTTAGCATAAGTTTTTACAAGCACTAAAATCGCTCTTGGGATTTTAGTGAAAGCGCATTATAATATCCTACTTTGCAGGATTCTTTCCATTCACTTAAATGTTGTCTAGAATATTTGGAATGGCAGGTTAGGATCCACTTTAAATATCTGTGTTGTCTCAGTAAATTTGGGATGGTCTGGTCTGGAGTGCTTATTATGTTACCTTTGGTTTAGCAAGACCTCTATTAAACCCGTGTCAAGGGGGCAGGTATAGCTACCTTTCCTATTATGGCACTTGGTAGGTCATGAGAGTGTCGCTGTTTTGAAAAGAATTGTATTTTGCGAGGTGAGTATGAGAGTAAATTACATGTTACCCACTCAAACTGCTTTGCCACAAAATCAGAGGTGTTTCGTGTAGGTGACTATTACTTTAATTTGCCTATGACTTAAGTTTCCGCTTTGATACAGCAGCAAAGACTCCGTCCGCCTCGGCCACCGCCTCCAAAGATACAGCGTTCATCTAGGCCCGTGAGTAGCTGGTAGTTTTGTTTCACTGCCACAGCTTAACACTGCCTGAACTGCACTCTCGGTAGCATTACTAAATCTTGGTAGTTTGGATTGTCAAACTTTGCAAAAAAGCAACGTGAGAATTATGCTCCTAAACTGCCTTCTTCTCTGCTGCGGCACAGCCCTGGGACCTGCATTTGTTCTGCTTTTCTTTGGCGAGTTCTGCAACTTTCAGTCAGTTCTGCAGGTAACTGATGCTGCTGTTGCAACATTTGTTTTTACTTTTGTGGTGATTTCTTAAACCAAAAATCTTGCTAGGCTGGCATAAGTTTTTAGCCAGTGAGTTTTTGAAGACTTGCACTAAGCTCAAATATGAAAGGAAGCAGAAGTCTGAAGATGAAGTATTTATTCTCCCCAAGTTTTGCTTTAAATTCATTTCAGATGCTTAATTTTTCTCCATGGACTAGACGAGTGAATACACCTAAACAAAATGAAGTCTATATTTAGGCATTAGAATGCTAGTTACCACGTTGTGGTCAATAGACAGCTATACTTCATGCTCGTTTAAAATGCTGTTGGAGACTCTCTTTAATTACATAGCATAAACATAGGCACAGCAGCTTGGCGAGAGGCAGCGGTTCCTTCATAGAAGAACTACACAGAAATTATTCTCAGTAACTGTATCAGGCAGAGATATCTTATCGAAGCAGTTTTTCATTCAAAACACTGACAGTAGGCAAATTGTTACATGTTATCTATACTAGATACCTTTAAAAATGGAAACTTCACTAGATCTGCATCAGGGACACTTTTCAGTACAGGAAATAAAGGGTATCAGTTTAGAAGGGATGTTGTTTTTGCAGCAGGCTTGGAAGGTATTTAATTCTGTTCAGGATTTTTGCTTCGTGAATTTTAATTCCCTCAAAAGGCAAATACCTCTTATTCCTTGCTTCCATATACATACATGTACGTGCATAAGAGAGAGATGCAAGTTTTCAAATCTAATCTTGCTAAAACTTGTTTAAAATGTTTAGTTTCAGATAAGCAGGCAACTAGTTAACAAATGCACTTGGGTGTGTTTTAACTTTTGATCTTTGGTGCATGTTCCTAAGTTAAGTTTCAGTGGCATGTTTTCTCTCCCCTCCTCCTTTTAACTCTGGGTGTTCAGCTTAACAGAGTTGTTGTTATGGATTCCTGCACTGAACGCTTCTGTTTTCCATGTGTGTAAAGGGTAGCATTGACTGTGCTTACGTGTGTTCTCTTAAATGTAATTGGTATGGGAGACCCTCCCAGATACACTACGCTGGGAACAAACTTTGCTGTTTTTCTCGGTGCTGCTAGCGGATTCCCAGAGCGCTTCGGAGCCCTCTCGGTCGGCCCTTGGCAGGTGCAGCCCGGCGAGGGCACGTTGCGATTTCCTTGTACACCAGTTCCTGAACAGTATTGCTCAGATTGAGTCATCTATTACATCGAAGTGCATCTTGCTAAGACTGTTTAATCTCCCAGCTGTAGTATATTAATAGTCCTCAGTATAATGTGTTTGTGTCAGCTGTCTTTGCCCCTAATGTGATTGATAAAAGGTTGGAAATGTAATAATAAAAGCTCCTGTTACATTCATCTAGCTGTGCCAATAAGTGGAATAGAAATGCTTCATTCATCAAGAGGAAATTCAAGATAAATGTAAATGATTATAATCGCTCCCAGAAAGTATGCTTGTACCGAATATGCATAAATTTGTTCAGAACTGTTATTTGGCTTTTAATAGATGAAATGCATTTTTGTATATGTACTTAACACTTTGTGCAGGCTGTTTTTTCACCCTCTCAATCTTGGCATATATTGCAGAGGTGAGTATCGGGAAGTAATTTATCCTAGTCTTTTACGGCAGGTCCTGAATGAGGAGGCCAGGGTCCCTCTGCTCCTCCAGCCAAGTCCATGTAATACTGGAGTTGCCAAGAAATACTTACTGTGGTCAGGATATATCTACTGCTAGGAGGAATCCATGAGCACTAGTGCTTGCAGCCTGAGTCGCTACTGATAATAAAAAGGAAAACACAGACCAAAGAAAGGTTAAGGAAGCATAACAGATAGATTCTTTACATTCTGCCATTTTAGAAATGAATTGTGAAGGTACTGTGAAGAAGAGAAGGTTGCTGCTATAATTAGCAGAGATCTGTTTGGATGAATAGAGGCTGTTTGGAAACTTCATTCAATTAAAAAAAAAAAAAAGTAAAAATGTAATAATTATGCAAAAAGTTTATGAGGACTGTAATAAGCACATTTAACCTTTCTGTCCTGGATGTTCACCTTTATTCTCCTGGCTGTGTACTTATGTAATTGAATTTCTTTCATGTTTTTGCATTTGATATGCGTTTAACCTGCCTATTTGGCTACAGAAGGCTCAAAATCCAGCGAGGAATTGGCTTTTCCCTGCATTTCCCCATGAACAATGCTCTAAATCCCTCTTAGCATGTCGCCCCGCACTTTACTGGTCTGCTAGCCCCCTGGAGCCCTCCAAAACTCTCATCTTTCTCCCTCATCAGCATCACGCCCCCAGGGTACCACCCAAAAGGTGAAAGTGTTCACAGCATGATGACAAGCCAGCTTTACACATCATCTTCCAGCTCGGATTTAATTAAACAGGTTTTTTTCTTCCTCTCTTTTTCTCTTTCTCCTTCTCGTTCTCTTCCCACCCCCCCGTCGTTTGCGCGCGCTCTCCCTCTCTCCCTCGCTCGCTGTGTTTTATCAACCCTAATGAAGCAGTATTCTTCATCGATCCTGCTGATTGCCAGCCCATTCCTTTTGTTTGTTGGCACCGAGCCATTCAGCCGCGCTCTGACAGCTCAGCTCGTCTAATTAGCTCTGTTGTTCTTTTCCCCATGTTTCACCACGTTGCAAGTTCAGTTGAAGTTGCCACAAACTTAATCCTTCCATTCCTGCCATAAATTCACATTCTTAAGCTGTCTTTATTGTAGAGAGGAGCACCCTTGTGTGGGGACTGATCTTCAAGACCTTAACATCTGACCTTTTTATAGACCTTTTTTCCTAAGGAGTAGTGGCAATATATCTCTGAATTTCTTCATCATTTCTGCTGTACACCATTTCCTTTGAAATGAAAATTCAAGACAAAATTCCTGCCATTATTTTCTGCATACTGTTGTGTAGTGCCAAAACACTACGCACAATTTGATGGCTTTTCCTTGCAAAAAAAAATTTGAGCTTTACGTGCCTAAAAACTTGCAGAGATGGGGAAAACCCTCATCTGTCATTGCAAACATTCGCTAGTCATCCAACGAGCGCTTAGGTTGTAGGCCTTTAGCAGCTTCCTTTCTGCTGTAGCTGTTAAGGGAGCGCAGGCTGAGGGAGGGCAGGAGCGGAGCTGTATTCCTTCGTTTATTTGAGCGCTTTGGGGATTCCTGTTGAAGCTAGCGTTCAGCTAAGCCAACAAATTAGACTTTGTTTCAGATAAGGCAGTACTTTCTTAACAAAAACTGGAAAGCTTGTTTGTACAGCCTGGCCCTGGTGCTGCAAATGTGCGTTCCTGCGTTTGACTCGAAGGGGTAAGTTCGTCAACAGGATTCCTCATTAGCGTGGGGAGGCACTGCATAAACTTTGCCTATGTAGTCATCATGTGTGCTTATTCCTTTCCTTGAAGTGAAGCTTGTTTGCTTGTGGAGTTACATGGGAAAATTAAGCTTGATTTGTGAACAACAGAGGATGATGGATACGTCACTTAAGACTGGACTGGCAGCAACATCACCTTCCACAGGAAGCCTTTAGATTTCATTACAGACAACAGAAGGAAGATGCACTAACATAACTTAACATTCGTGGTGATAAACCCAGCAAGGCTTTCTGGTCAGCTGCTGAAAGGAACCATATTTTTTATGAAAAAGGAATAATGCTTTTCATGTTATAACATTTATTCTAAGCACCAACGTTTTCAGTGTTCCCTTACTCTGGATTCTTCACTTCAGAAGCTGGTTTGTTATGAACAAGCAAACAAAAGGATCATGGTGTTAGAGATGAGCTCTGATTTCCAATATAATGTACGAGAAAACACTGGATTTTCCATTTTTACTGTTTCAATTAACTGTTTAGATGAAGCTCACATTTAGAAAATCTTTTACCAGACGTTTAACCTGTACCAAACAAGACACTGGAATAAATGTTCAGTCCTTGGGTAACAGCTAGTGGTCAGTGACAAAAGCATATATGTTTTCATTTGCTACTCAAAAACATATTTTTTATGGGACATCTTTTAACAAGTTATGGGTACTGTGGTTCATATTAATGCTGATGAAATTGTAACTTTGTTGTAGCACAGAAAAATAAAGTTTAAAAGTGATTCTAAATGGAAGATGCATTTAAGGTAACAGTGGTTATGCAGATTTTGTCCTTTTTGCTTGCTCCTTGATCAGCCTGAAGTATTTGATGAAATTTCTTCCATGTATGTGTGTGTAATAGGTTCGGCCTCCGAGACCTCATGTTGTTAAGAGACCCAAGAGCAATATTGCTGTGGAAGGGCGAAGGACTTCGGTTTCTAGTCCAGAACAGTAAGTGCTTCGCTGCTCTGCTTCTCCCTAGTTGCGTTAGTGTTTAAAGAATAGTATATTCAAAACTGGAACTTACCAAAGGAAAAAACAAACAAACAAAACCCAACAAATGAAAATAATTTTTTATGAACTAGAAAAAAGATTTATTTTTAATTTTTGGAATATTTTAGAGGAGGAGTGAAAAAGCAGAAACCAAAGCTTACATTATTTGAAAATTCTGGTCTTTCATATTGCACTTAATCTAATCAGCCGATTTAGTGAAAGTTTTCAATTTTGTGGAAGTGTGTTCATCAGGTTATTTGAACAGTGCTTTAAATGAAATTTAGCCAAGTTTTGCTTTCTAGCGATGGCAGCGCGGGCTGTGTCTGGTGCTTGTTAGCGCCCCGGCAGCAGAAGCTTTGTAATGAGCTTTAGAGTGAAGGCTTGTAGAGCTTGACCGTCTTGCTTAGTACTGGCTAATTTATCATCGCTTTGGATTTGACTGCGAAGTAAACGAGGGTAATGTTCTAAACACGTTGTGCTGCTGTCGCCGACTGCTAGTACGTAGTGTGTGTCGCTTTCCAACGTCTCTCTTGTTCATATAAACGGCATATTCTGTTATCTTGAGCAGAGGGATTTGTCAGGTGCTTTCATGAAAGTCACAAATTGAAGTACTTTTTAAAAAGAAGATACTGAATTTTGTTGCTGATTTTCTTAATATGTAACTGGAATTGAGTTCAATGACAGGCCATCAAGTAAAGAACTAAGAAGAGGATGAATGTATCATACCTTACCAATGTAGCATAAGAGAAACTACTGCATTTAACTAATATGTGGCATTAACTATGTATGTGGCATCGATATCCAATTCGGATTCAAAGTTATTTGGATTGTTTTTGAGTGCAGCTATTTAAACTGTTTAGAAGTACGGAAGAGTGCTAAGTTCTGCTTGCGTGCAAAGTCTGGTAATAGTTCGCTGCGTTTCCAAAGTGTCTGAATAAGCAGGTTGCCTCATTTCAGTTCAGGATTTGGGAATCTAAGGACTGGGCATTTTGCCAGGGGCCATTGATCTTAGACGGAAAAAGGCGCCTTGAAAAATACAGCTAGAGTAGGGACAGACCTGTCTGGCACTCCTGCGGGAGCGACTGAGCAGAGAGGTAAGAGAAGCAGGCAGCAGTAGGCTGTTTCCTGCATGTGAAGCATCTTTGGTTCCCTCCTTGGACTGCGGTGCACTAGCATTTTCCAGCTCTCCTCAGTATAGTTTGGGATGGCCGGAATTCTTGACGCTGGGAACACTTGCCAAAATGTTCATATGATAAGTAGCCTTTACAGGATGGGGAGATATTTTGGGTTTTAGCTAAAAGTGAATGGTGACTTTTAAATTATACAGGATGATTTATCCATTTTACAGTGGAATTTGGTTGCCCTCTTGTGGAGTAGATTGCAAACCCTGCAGAAGAGCTCACATGGGGTTACAGGGTGGTAGCTGTCCTTGCACAAAGGTTATAATGATTTTTTTTTTTAAGTTTTTTTTTCTTGAATGTTTAATATGATGACTCACTGTATAGCTGATATGCTAGAAGATAATTAAATCAGCTTAGCCGTTATATAGATTTCATATGACAGATTATGTATGTTTGGATTTAAAAGCTACCTGACGTTCCAGTGGCGTACTACTCCAAATTATTTTCTATTTCTAACAGTATCAGAACAGAAATAAACATAAACATGGGTGATAAACGTAATATTTATGCTAATACTAGTAATATATTGAATTAAAATTATTATTTTTCTTGATTTTTAGTTTGTTGTAATGAATTTTAGTGACTCTACAACTCGGCTGCTTTCACAGCGTGCAGAAAGCAGAGCTGCTCTACTGTGAGCGATCAGTGGCGATGCACAAAAGATAATGAAGATTCTTTGTAGCCATAAACTGGCTCATTTTTCTTCATGAGCATTTTACTGACATTTTTTTCCATCCTTTAAGTGTGGAATAAAACCAGGCAGTGTTTCTAATACCAGTGGTATTTGCTGTATGGTACAGCAAATCTCTTCCTGGTCTGTCCCAGCTTCAATATTTTATCCAGTTCAAATACAATGCCACAGCAGCAACTGATGCATTTTTATTCTTTCCTGTCGTTAACTTCAGGTGGCAGAACAAACTTGGACAGAACTGCCAGACAGTTAATGGTAGAGTCTTGCAGTCAACCGGATATCCTGTAAGGTGTCTGGTTAGACTGTTTTAACAAAACCAAGTTAGACTGGAAGAGAGGAAGGGAGGGGAGACCAGGACAGTGAACTGGGAAGTACAGGTGGAGGTAACGTAACCTTCAAGACATTAGGATAGGTACAGATCTTCACCACAAGAGACAATTTGTGAGACTTAGAAATTCTGATGTTGGCAAAATCACAAGTCAACCAGAATTAATTGTGTTGTGATGGTAGAAATATCGAACCTCCTACTTAAAAGAAAGCTCGTATAAATGCTTACCGAAGTAATAACTTTAGGCCAGTGCCTTTGAACTTGTAAGGGCTCACTAATTCTGACTTTTCTCCTTACTGTTTATTTCAAAACAGCACTTTAAATACATGAAAAACATTTAAAAGAATGGGCAATGCTAATTAAGGATAATTAAGGACACTTTCCATGTTTTTTTTTCTCTATCCCAGTAGGCAATAATGTGTCTATATTGTTCTGAAACAAAAATATAAAGCCAGGTTTTGCTTTTCTGTTTTTGGGTTTTTTTTTTTAAGAAAGGACATTGGCTTTATCTGTCTTAGATTATACTAAAATGGATCAAAAAAACACCTTTGCTTAAAGCCAAATGTAGGAGGACTAAAGCATCCTTTTGCTTTAATGTTCTCAATACATTGAAGAGTTGAATTTTTTGTCTTTTAGCTTGAAAAGCAAACAGGAAAGAACTAGAAGATTCCTTTACTCTCCAGGTTTATTTTGGGTGTATGGGGAAGGTGGATTTTTTTTTTTGTTTAGCCTTTATAATTTTCATTTCTTTTACTTTTGGAACACTCAGTAAGTGCTGAGAAGTGTTACCGCCCACCCCCCTTTTTTTAAGGGGTAAGTCCATACTTGTTTTCTTAAAGACTGAAATGCCCCAAAGGGAAATCCCTGCCTCTCTAAGCGTCAGCTTAGCCCTTGCAGCTCTGAGCAAGCGTGTCTGCCCGGTTTACCCGGCCGCGGCAGGAGCGAGCAGTCTGTTAATGAAAACTGCGCCTTATACCACGCTGGCAGGAGTTGCTGACACCGTTCAGGCTGGAGGGACGCTTGTGCCTAGGTAGAAACAGCAGTGGAGCACGAACAAATTTAGATTTGACTTCAAAAACGCGAGCTGCCCGCCCATCTGGAGGAGACCGCTGACTCTGAGACCTGGGGAGAAATCGTGCATGTCTGAACGCTGGCAGACCCCAGGGTGATCGTGGGCCTCTAATGAGGTCCTACTCTGCACGATGACATTCCTGCAAAACCAGATCGTTTGGCCAAAGCTTGTCCGGCTGCACTCGACTAAGGCATAACTGCAGTGCTGGTCGTAGCCTGGGTTATGGCGGAGGCCTTTGTCTCGTGGTTAGACTGTTTTGTCTCGTGGGCTAATTGCCACTTTCCTGGGAAGTCACAGAATAGTTTGTAGGGCCAGAGTTGCTGCATATGAGGAGCTGTAGGGATGTTTTACCTCTGTTGTGTGGCAAAAGGAGACCGTCTTCAGGCAGGTGCTCCTAGGTAGGTGTTGTTGAAGCCAAGTGAGAGCGGGAGAAGAGGCTGGTCTGGTTCAGTGCTTTTTCGCTAGAAACTTCAGGAGCCCCTGAAGTGAGATGTGAAGGAGAGCTTTAATGATGTGTGTTTTGCAAGTCCCACTGGTGTTGGTAAGGTGAATGTGTGATTCTTAAAATAAAGTGCCCACGTCCTCAGTGTCCCTGCCATAAGCTGTGTGCTGGCGAGGCCCTGACCTTGCAGAGCAAGCAAGGTCTCGGTGTACCAGAAGTTGGGCAGTTTGCTCCGTTTTTCAAGGTGGAGCCGAGTTAGCCCATAGCTCCTGCAGCGCGTGCCTCGTATCGAGCGATCCCGTGTGCGAGAAGCCAGTGCAAGCGCTCGCTGGGCAGCGGCTGGAGAAGGCTGCGTGCGTGGTGGTGGCTGGCACTATCAGCCAGAACTTCTCTGCAACTTTTTCTTTTCCCAAAGTAAAGACTTTAATAATCAGAAATTATTATCTTATCTGATCGTACCACTTATCTGACTTAGCTATTCACCTGAAAATGCCGATGAGTGCGAATGGAAATCTTCATATGCAGTTCTTGCACATCTCTAGGATGAGGAACCCAGTAGCTGCAACTTACTGCATCGGGATTTTGGGAGGGACAGTTTGTATTTTCACTCGTGCTTCTGGGTAGTGTCGGGGTGCCCTTGTTGCAGATCAGAGGAGATCCCATGAAATCTGCTGCTCAGCTACAGGCCAGAGAGGGTGCTTTTCCTAAATTAAACTTGACCATAGTATTTAGTTTAATTGCACTGGCTCCAAAGCTGATTGTTAGACAGTTACTTTTCTTGATGTTTGTGTGTGGGAAATGCTTGTGAGGAGGAGCTTCTGTTCAATGAGCAGTTTCTTTCTGTATTCAACCCTACTATTAGCTTTTTAGTCTTAAATGATTGCGTGTAGGCTTCAGAGACATTTCCCAGGATCTCTGACTCATCAGCTCAAACGGTGACTTTGCATCCTGCTACCAGCTGGTGGAGACAGGACCCTCGGGATGGTGTGGCACTAACTACTGCACAACCTGCCCCAGGTAGCTGCTTCTCCCGGTGTAACCTTGCATGGCATCTCTGGGAAGCAAGCCATCAAGCAGACATCCTTTTAGTTTTGAGGTATTTCTTATGATATTGGGAAATTTGTATCTTCAGTCACATGAGTTTTTTTTTTCTCTATATAAAAGAAAAACATTGTTCTCATGGTATATGTGTTTATTTTCTAGTCAGTCTTCAATTGAAACACAGGAGGATGGGAGCAGTTACT